AAATCTAAAACTGCAAATTTCACAATGGTTTAAAACTACTATAATTCAAATATTTTGGTCCATGAGAAATAGTCAAATTAATGAAAATGAAAGCATTATAAATCAGGTGAAACATCATCCTACAAATGTTTTGACTAGGAATTCTCAAACAGGCAACAGCCACATGAGTAGCCATTTCAGTTTTCATATATTTTGTATTACAAAAAAAATGCTCCCTGCGAAAAACTGAACTGGACAAATTCCTGTTTAGAACATAAATTCTATTTTTTTTAATATTACATTGTTCTATGTTTTATTTTTATCATTTTATTTCATTAATTAATATTTTATTTTATTTCCCTGGAGCAGCTGTAGAGTCCCTGTGAAGTGAATGCGGAACCCTAAGTGCTCCACAGGCACAAATTTAGGACCACTTACATACTAGGAACAGAAAGAAGTCCTCTCCATTTGATTTATGGCTTGGTCACTTAAGATTTAGTCCTTTTCTCAGATAGATAAAACTTGCCTTCATCAAGCCAAGTCCTCCAATTCCATTTGCCCCTTTTGAAACAAACAAACAAACAAATCCTTATTTTTGACCGTTTGAACACTGAAACTCAAACATTAATTTCTTGTAAGCAAATGCTATAGTAATCTGAAGAGCTAATAAACTGTTGGTTTTTCTGATGGCCAAAGATTTCTGATGAACACTGACTTTTTATACGGAAATTGTCAAGTTGAACAAAGTAACAATCAGCTTTAAACTTCTGAAGGGAAAGGAGTTTTATCAATGCAACTCTTAGAATGTGAACTATTGAAAACAACTGTCTTTAGCCCCAAATATATAACACACACCTTCTTACATGATTTCAAACTTGCAAACCACCAACAAAAAATTAGCAGGTTTATTATTATTATTTTCCACAGTAAACTATATTCCTTTATTTCTATCATTTTAAATATTAGTATTGTTGCGTTTTCCTTTTCTGACACCAGTTGTTACGTTATGTTCTTCCTTCATGTTCGTATGGGGTTCGTGTGGATTTGGAGTGAATAATGATGACATTTTATGATGAAGTATCGAAACACACTTTATTTAGCCAATATTAATCGGGACAGCTTTAAAGTCACGTTTTTACAGTCATCGATGAGCTACTATAAACACGCTGTCACGATCAGCGACACAGCATCCAGGTTATCAGGCTATCGCGGTGAACACAGCTTCACTGCAAAGCACCAGAGTACAGCTCCCGACTCCGCTTGGTCGTTCTCGGGACTCCACGTACTCTCAAGACTCTCCACGCTACAACTCGCGATGAACTCGACGACACACAGAACACAGCTCCCGACTCTTCAGTTCAATCATTCCCGGAGCTCAACACATTCTCTCGACGACCCACTTGGCGACTCACTCGGCACTCGCTGCCCGGCTGTCAACTTGATCGACTCTGCGAGGATTGACTCGCTAGACGAGACACAAATTCGATACTAACTATCTCACACTCCAGGTGATGCACACACACACACTGACTCAACTAGGCTCGCTAGATGAGGCACACACTCTTGATACTCTATGCGAGGCACTCCTGACTGCGGACCAGCAAGGTTTATATAGCTTTTGGCTTGTGTTCGAGAACACTCTGGGCTAAACCGGTAAGAATTCGTTCCAGAAGGTTCTCTATCCGTCCATGGTATATCGCCAATTTTGTTGCCAAATGGGCGATTCTTCGCCAAATGTGGCAACCCTAAAACTGCTTTGCAGGTAAGCCATCCCACCGTGCATGTACATTTCGTAACACTGCCTCCTCCCAAGGCTTGCACGTCCTAGGCAGTTCAACCATTGGTCAGAAGACAAATTCGATACAAACAAAGCATTTTAAAACATACAGATAACATAACTAAAGAAACAAATATTTACACTATGTACAAGTTATACACACAAATTAAACACATAACAATTTTAAATTTAACAAATTAAAGTTCTGAATGAATTTCAGTCTCAGTCTTTTCATTAATTTATACCCGGGTCAAATACTTTTCCACTGCAGTTCTCAGATGCATTTCTGTTTTGGAAATCACAGTCTGAAGATTCAGTTCTTTCAGACTTTTCATCCACAGTAAGATCTAAAACAGTTCATTCACCACTCTGTATTTCATTCACAGCATGCATACAGTTCACATCGGTATTTTTAGCAGATGGTGCATGCTTATGTACCTCTATTTCCTGAAAGCCAGTTCTGATGTTTGCACCAGGGTTGCAAATAGCATCCGATCCTTTACAAGCAGATGTATCCAGGTTTAGAATCAAGTCCTTATCTGCACAACCTGCACTATGAGGCACACACCCAGTTTGTATAGTGGATGAATTTTCCTGCAATACTTGAGTACGCTGCTTAAGCTTCTCCCAGCTCTGCATCACATGCACTTTCAGATGGTACAACACTTGCTGACTGCATTTTCATAACTTCACTATCAGTTTCTACAAACTTGACAGTCGCATTTTCACTTTCTTCTATCTCTACTTCAAGCACGAGAGAATCAAAATCTTCCTTCCCGTCTTTTATTTCTTCATGTTTTCGCTCTTTTTCTTTAATCCTATTAGATATTTCATCGATCATTTCTGGATCTTTGTCAGGCAGTTCGTTGGCTACTTCCTTCATTTCTTCATCCTTGGATTCTCCAGATGCCACTTCTCTCATTTCCACATCCTCTTTTATGGCTCCAGTTTCTTCTGCAAGCTTCACTTTCATCTGTGGGAGTTGCTCTTGCAGCTTTTCTCTGCCAGCTTTCATCTCTTCTTGTCCAGCTTTCATATCAGCTGTCATCTCTTCATATCCAGCTTTTATCTCAGCTAGTCCAGCTTCCATTTCAGCCTTCATCTCTTCCTGACCAGCTTCCTTCTCTTTCAGTTTGGCTTTAATTTCAGCTTAAATCTCTTCCTGTCCGGCTTTCAACTCGGTTAAAAGGTCCATCAAAGTCTTCGTTTCTTCTGTCAGGCAGGTCATTGGCATTCACTTGCAAACCCCACTCCTGACACCAGTAGTTGTGTTTTTCTTTTCTGACACCAGTTGTACATGATTTTCTTCCATCGCGTTCGTACAGGGTTCGTGTGGATTTGGAGTTAATAATGATGACACTTGATGATGAAGTATCGAAACACACACATTTAGCTAATATTAATCAGGACAGCTCCAATAACACTTTTTACAGTTGTCAAAGATCTACTCTAAACATGTTGGAACAATCTGTGACACAGCCTTCAAATTGTCAGGCAATAACGGTGAAGACAGCTTCACTGCAAAGCTCCTGACCCTGCTCGGTCGTTCTCGGAACTTCACGTACTCTCAAGACTCTCCACACTACAACTCGCTATGCACTCGACGACACACAGAACACAGCTCCCAACTCTTTGGTTCAGTTGTTCCCAGAACTCAACACACTCCTCGATGTTGCTCTAACCGTGATACACTACAAGACTCTTTCGGTGCACTCGATGACCCACTCGACGCTCGCTGCCTGGCTGTCAACTCGATCAACTCCACAGGGATTGACTCACTAGACGAGATACCAACTCGATACTAACTATCTCGCACTCCAAATGATGCACACACGCACTGACTAGTCTAGGCTCGCTAGACGAGGCACTCACTTTCGATACTCTATACGACGCACTCCCTGACTGCGGATCAGCAGGGTTTATATAGCTTTCGGCTTGTGTTCGAGCACAACACAACACTGGGCTAAACCGGTAAGAATTCATTCTAGAAGGTTCTCCATCCGTCCATGGTATATCGCCAATTTTGTCGCCAAATGGGGATTCCTCGCCAAATGTGGCAACCCTGCCTTCTTTTGTTATTTTATGGCAACCCTAAAACTGCTTTGCAAGGAAGCCATCCCACCACACCTGTACATTTCGCAACAGCATTTTCTAATGAACATTAATGTGTTAACACAGGTGGTAGTATTCTAACAACTTATTTCTTTACCATGCTTTATTAATTATACTATTTTTCATCTCTACTTTTATTATACTATTTTTTGTTATACTGGGGCTATAATTAAATGTTCATAGTGAGATAGAATTACCATTCTGAATTTGAAACTGTGCCTTTGCTTCAATTTTAGATTTACAAAGAAGTAACGGCATTACCTAGGAAATTACACGATTAACAGAACATAATTTAATAAAAAAATATTATTTGGGATATTATAGAGACATCAGGTTATTTTAAAGCAAGAGTAGATGAAAAATGTACAATGCCCTTGCCAGGACTCGAACTTGGACCTCTTGAATACGTACAGTGTGTGTTTCATCTCAACATTCCAGGAGGGGTGTGGGGGCACATGTTGTTGTGAAACCCAAATAGAATTTGAAGCTTTTAAGCAAACAGGTGAGCAAAGGCTTTGGCCTTCAAAGGATTAAAATACAAGGACCTGATTTTAAACTCATCAAATTAGCTTCAGTATCATTAAGCTAGAAATGCACAACTTCTCCCAAATACTGTTAAGTCTCCCCTTTCACTACCTGCTTACTGTATTATCCACATTCCAGGGGGGAGGGGGGGGAGATATTGTTGTGAATCTGAAATGGAATTTGAGGTATTTCAAGCAAACAGGTGAGTAAAGCCTTTGGCCTTGAATGGAGTAAAATACAAGGAACTAGAGTTAAGCTCATCATATTAGCTTCAGTACCATTAAGTACCATAAGAAATGCACAACTTCCTTAAAATACTGTAGGTCTCCCCTTTCACTACCTACTTACCATATTATTTCATTATTTTTAATTAAATTATCAGCGTCTTAAATATGGGTGTCTTTCTGTCACATTAGCAGCTTAAATATTTAAAGAAACTGACATGTGCACATTAACTTTATTTAGATATTTATACTCCGTTCAGTGAGTCCATTTAATAACAGACAATAAATCATGCAAACATTATAAAAATGATACAACTTCCTGCACACTTTACTTTTGTACTGTTTGTTCAAGAGGGGAAACATGAAAAAAAATTGTTTAATACCTTGGTTTTAGTAGACACAAAGTCAGCTATTTTGTCCCATCGAGCTGGTGTATCTTTAGGAAACTTCTGCAAAGCAAGTTCTAAAGATCGCTGTTCTTCCTGTTTCCAAAATTTCTCTGAACTTGTATTTGATTCATCTGACATCTGCTTGGCCACATTTTGTGTTGCACTTCCATTTGCAATTACGTTATTATTATTATACCTTAGATCACCGTTTCCACATTCCTGCTTTAGTCCCTTTTCTTCATAAAGCTGAAACCCAAAGTTTTCCTTTTCTGTACCAGTCATGCCTAAAATTAAAAATAAATAAAAATAACAGTCAATTAAATCGAAATGTATTACTGACTTGCAGATACATTCAAATATTTACATTAAATTGAAGATTTTAAAAAAAAACTTTTTAATTAGAAATATTTTATCTACATATGCACATATGCAGACTAAAAATACAGAAGTAGATAATTTTTTTACAAAAAAAAAAAAAAAAAAAATATTTGTGCACATAGCCACATAATTTCAGTATCACAACCATAAACAGAACATAAAACTTTGATTTGGAATTCTAAGAAAAATTTAAAAATGAAACTTAGGGCTATCTTGGTTGCAAATGCTTTCACTGCGAAGAGAAAAGACCCCTTCACATGAAAAGGACACTTCAACTCTGAACATAGCTTAGGAATTTCACAATGCCTCTTGAATTTCATTTTATTGTAGAAATTATTGTACAAATTCCAGGCTTTGTTGATAGAATTGCTTAGAAAGCAATGTTGATTAATGTTTATTATTGTATAAGGTTTTGTAATTAACCTTATTAATTAGCACTGACACGTTTAAGTAAATATGTATATTGTTGTAATTTTTTAAAATGTGTAAAGTATAAATACTGTTTACATATTTAAAACATTGTTGTACACGCATACACAAACATTCCTAGGGGCAAATCCTACTTCATGGTTTTTCAGCTTTCGCGGAAGGTTCTGGTCCCCATTAACCACGAAAAACGAGGGATCACTGTATAAAAGAAAAGAAACAATTTTTCACAGATGATTCAGTGCCTCTTATTTAATGTGCTACTCGTAAACATTCTCCTCTGTCCGAGACAGACTGGTGACATTATTTGCTCCTAATACGAAACATTTATTTCCTAGAATTTCATTAGAGATATATTTCTCATTCAATTAATTCAGTTCCCGACAAGGCAAAAATACATAAAATCTCAAAATATCTTCATTAAAAATTGAAAAATATGAAACACCGAATAACAGCAGTTAAAACAATTAAAAAAAAAATTTTTACAATTTAAAATTAGAGTTTCTTCGCAAAAACAAGCAATTCAGGACCTGCAGGCAAGAAGGCAGATTTTTCGGTGCGCAAAACTGAGAAGTTTAACTTTGGTCTCACTCCGGCAAAAAAGGCACTGGAGGTGCAAGAAACTGACTTAATTCACTATTATGTTAAGTTTCAAATGTAAACAAATATGGTAAACAAAAATTATGCTTAGCCGCACTTAAACAACTTTTAAATTGCTGATAATTCTACAAATATTGCATGCAGATTACCTAAAGGCATAAAAACCTAAACCGGAACATAAGAACAACATAATTCAAGTATTTTTAAAGCAAAAAATGGACCAACATATAACAATAAAAAAAACTGAGCTCACGGAGTCGTTAACATATGGGTTATATAATTTATTTATTAATATAATTATGCTCCTTATTAAAATACTCAAAAATAATCTAGTACCTAATCATTTTATTAATCATTGTCTTAAAGAGAAGGTGTTAAATACTCTCTCTAAATCATTTAACTGATAGAGATATGAAAATTTGTTCCTAAACCTGAAAAGGCAGTATAAGTTGGATGACTAGTTGGAGGATTTATACATAGTGTACTTACAGAAATAATTGTATATAATGTAAAAAATAATTGTTTTCTGGCTTTTTCTTGTTACTTTTGCTGTTACTAAAAAAAAAAAAAAAATGAGCCTATTTCATACTCTGAGTCTGCTAAATAGCTCATTAGCAATGAAAATTCCTTTTCTTCCTCGTTATGTCATGACAATTAACCAGAAATTAATTAATTTCCATTCACTAGTCAGTATAATATCAAAATTTTAACAGACGCATTTATACTCACAAAATAGCTCAGCAACCACTTCCCTCCCACATATCAAAAATAGCTTCTCAAAGGTTCACCAATGGTAATAATTTAAAGGATCCCCACTGCTGCTCCCTGCATATCCGATAGTATAGCCTACCAAACTCCTTCTGAGTAAGAAAACAGATGTGCACACTTCACCATCATTCCACAAGAAAGAACGTAATTACTTCATACTCTGGCCTTTTTGTATATTATGTACATTTCCTTGTACCTTATTTTATTTATACTTATTTCAATTATTTATATATATTTCAATTTTCAACTTATATTTCATTGATTTTGCAAAGATAGCAATGTTTATTATGATTTCTCATGTTTATTATGATTTTGATTTCTCATGTTTATTATGTTTATTTGATTCATAAATATAGCAAAGATTAACTTCTATTTGTATTTATAAATATAGCTTTGAATTAACATGCATAAAAGCAAGAGTGTTGGAGAGACACTTTACTCAAGTATATAACAATATATATATATATTTACTACTTAACTTAATTTCACTACAATATCTCGAGCTTTCTAAAAAATCCATTAACTTAATGGAACTGCTACATTCAAAATGAATTCTTCGTAGTACAGTAGAAGTCCAGAAATCCGCAAAGCTTGGGACCAGAGGTTGTTCAGATTTTAGGATTTTGCGGATTTCAGGACAGAAAAGATAAAGCATAATATTCGGACTAAAAGTGGAAAATAAATAAGGCGTATTAGATACAATTAATTAAATTATTATATACATTATTGCAATAATTTATTATATACATTAAATTATTATTACATATATAAATTGATTATATTATTCATTGTACTATATGTACACAGCATTGAGGCTCTTCAAACAAAGCTCTTCTCTATACTTCCATCATTTGACCAATATTTTTGTATGCTTGCACTATCTGGGGTACGGCTGCCAAAACTCATGTGAAAAAAACTTCAATCCTTTCAGATTAAAAAACTACGTATGGCTCTGAACGCAGCCTGGTACGTCCTTACAGATGTGATTCATTCAGACTTAAACATTAAACCTGTGGATTATGTTCTTAAAAGACAAAAATTTCAACTTAAAAAACAGAAATAGTCAACATTTATTCATCAAAATTGAACAGACTGATAACTGCGCACTTCAACAGTTACTGGCCTACGAATCCTGCTATTTGCAGCTCGCAGAAAAGACCTTGCTCCATCATGGGATGCGAATACAGCTTCTATCCTCCAGCTAAAAGGCGTAGACACGCCCCCTTCTCAGTTCCAGCACCCGGCCAATGAAGGACCTACTGCCATGTAATTGCTCTACCATTCTCCTACTCCAGTATTACTGAAAAGTGGCCACCTCTGCATTCTTATCAATCTGTTCATTATTTAATCACATCACATCATGCTCGCTGCCCTGGATATTTCGTCACAAAAATTTAATCTTTACTGCACTATGATTAATGCCATATGCCAATGAGCCTATTAACCTTTTAACTGTCTGGTGTTCGAAAATGTCACGGTTAATTTTTTTTTTTTTTTAATGCATCGTATTGTTATACTTGAATATATATCAGAGAGGTTTTTTCGGCTTCATCTCTTTGTCCAACGACTGTAATCTCAGGAAAGTTAATGTGCGCTCATTCATATATGGCAGCACTTTACTGAAGGTTCAAAGGTTACAGTTAGAAGTTTTCTTTGATTCAAAGTGTGCAGATCTATTTGGTTGTAAAATGGCATCCAGTTCTTTGAATGTTATTAGATGATTTCGATCTTCAACGAAGATGAGATTTTGAAGGCATCGATACTAGTGACGCAGGTGAAACTGAGGGAGAGTGGAACACTGAAAGTAGCAGTAAATCAACGGATAGCGGTGATGATGATTAGGATATGCAGAGACTGGGTCAAATACTGCTTCTGGCAATCAGTCCCCTCGGTCCCTTACAGGTACTCCAGTGTACTTTTCCGTAAACATAAACTACACTTCTTGATTTTTAGAAATGTTTTGGATTCAAATCTAATGGATTATTTGTCAAAGAAATGAAAATGCAGAACAAGAAAAAAGCAAATTGGGCAAAGATATCAAGGTGCTCCCGCAGTAACAAATGGATCCCTACAAATGACAGGAAATAAAGCTATTCTTTGGGCTAATAATTCGTCAAGGTATTGTCCCGAAAACCAATCAGGCTATGTCGGTCTCACGAAGGATTTGCAACTCCGTTTACTCAAAGTAATGCCCGTAATCATTTTATTTGCTTTCGATATATATTTTTTGCAATAATGAGCTGGGGGAAAAAAAAAAAAAAGAAAAAAAAGAAAGAAAAAAAAAAGATGATTTCCAATTGAAAACTTTGAGCTGTATAAAGTTGATAGAATTTACAGGAAAAATTTGTATTTTTACATACCGTAAAGAGATGTATCAATTGATGAAAGCTTGATGCCTTATAAAGGAAGGTTATCACCTCTTCTTGACAAAATTATTGGGAACAATATATTCCTATCAAACATGCACGATTTGGAATCAAATTTTGTATGCTTTGTGAGGCAGAAACAGAATATTTTTGTAACTTCATTATCTATACAGTAAATAGTACTGTCTTCAATCAATTGTATACAAATTATGGACTTTCTACAAAAGTCGCCATACACCTATTGCATCGCTTTCTTGGAAATGGTTATTCTGTGACTGTAGATAACTATTACATGTCACCCGAGCTTTCAGATTTTCTTATAGCCCAAGACGAGATTTACCTACAGAATTCGCTAAAAGAAAATTATAAAAAGGTCAAAATCATAACTTTTCAAAGAGGTAAGATTTTGGCTATAAGGTGGAAAGATAAGAAAATATGTGTGTTTGATGAGCAGTATTCATGATACTTCCATGGTCAGCCTCAAATATAAAAAAAATAATAAAAAAAAAAAAATGACACACTCAAGTCGAAGCTTGTTTCTGACTACAATTTAACTATAGGTGGTGTAGATCGCTGTGATTAGGAAATATCCTTTCATCCAACAATCCGAAAATATCAGAAAAAATATATTTTTACATTTACTAGACAAGGTATCTAGACCCTATTTTGCCTTAAAAATGTAGTTGGGAACCATTACATTTTTAGAATTTTGAATCAATTGTATAAAGAGCTTTACATAATATGATGATGCAAGCTTCTGGACAAAGAA